TAACGGTTGTACAATTTTGACTTTGGTATTTACACTTCAAATGTCAGTGTCTATACACATGTAACATGTTGACTGATTACAGATTTGTGAGAAACAAACACTAAAGATGTTTTACCTTCAATAAAATATGTCATTTGGACCTTTCGAAACGATATCCAGATTTTTAATAAATAAATATGATTTTGTCTAGGCCTTTAAAATATGTCATGGACCACTGTTATTGGTTAATAAATTCTCCGAATTTTAATAAAATATATTGTTATTGGTTTGATGATTTTAAAATTTATTTAAATGTTATTACAATTTTTAATTATTAATAATTTATTAAAATTTAATCTTATTGAGGTATGTATTCTCTACATTATTACTCACAAGACTTGCACTTATAAAATTTCACTGATATCCACAAAAGTTCAAAAAAAAAATGCAACAAAAGAAAAGGATATAAATAAAAAATTAAGATTCAACTGATTTGTATCTACCAAAAATCTATTTACTTCAAGTAACAAAACCCAGACCTTATTTCCAATCTCATCCGATAGAAGTTTTAACTTCTCATATACTTCGCTCAATTCTTCACGGTCCAAGTCAGTCCGGAAGATTGGCGAAATGGGCAATCGAACTCAGTGAGTACGATATAGAATACAAAAGTCGGACTAACGCAAAAGCACAAGTCCTGGCTGATTTTCTAACCGAACTACCATTAGATGATGGAATATTTGTTGAAACGGACTCTACATGGAAATTACATATAGATGGATCTTCTTCTAAACAAGGATCCGGAATCGGCATTAGGCTCGAAACTCCGACAAAGGAAATAATCGAGCAATAATTTCAATTAATGTTTCCAGCTTCGAACAATGAAGCAGAATACGAAGCTCTTTTAGCAGGACTTCAGCTTGCTCTTGCGATTGAAGCAGAAAAAATAATAGCTTATTGTGATTCTCAGCTAGTTGTAAACCAGTCGCTAGAGATTACGAAGCTAAGGCTCCTCGAATGGAAGCTTATCTTTCGGCTGTCAAAAAATTAGCCAGAAAATTCAAAGAATTCGAATTAGTTCGAATACCTAGAGGAGAAAACACTTCGGTAGACGCTTTAGCTGCCCTAGCTTCTACCTCAGACCCTGAACTCAAAAAAGTTATCCCAGTTGAATGTATTTCTTCGCGAAGTATTTCGATTGAAGAAACAGAAAACGATAACATTTCGGAGGCCGAATACATCGAAACTCCAAAACCAAGTGAGAATGGTTCACTTGTCATCACCAGATCACGAATAAAGTCTCAAGATGACGAACTTAATCCACCATTGGAACTTCCTAAAAAAAAGTCAAGAAGAAAATTAAAGGATCAAGAGGTTCCCATTAAAGAACCGTCTCGAACCGAACAATCACTTCCAGGTGATGTAGAGGTTCAGGAGACAATCGAAGATCCTGATATTTCTTCCGAACCCGAACCAAGGAAGTTTATACTCAAGGATAATACTTCCGCTAATGATTGGGGGGCTGACTGGAGGGTACCCATCAAAAATTTCATTCTTAATGGAGAACTACCATCGAACAAATGGCAAACTCGCAAATTAAAAATCATCAGCGCTAAGTATTGTATAATTAAAGAGTCATTGTACAAGCAAGGCGTCAGTGATCCTTATCTTTTATGTATTTTCGGACCCGAAGTTGAAATAGTGACAAGCGAGGTCCACGAAGGACTTTGTGGTAGTCATTCTTCGGGATGAGCAATGGCTTTCAAAATCAAACGGTTAGGATATTTCTGGCCAACTATGATTTCTGACTGCATCGATTACGCCAAACGGTGTAAAAAGTGTCAGATGCACGCTCCTCTTATTCACCAGCCGTCTGAAATTTTATCATCTATATCCGCTCTATACCCTTTCATGATGGTCAATGGATATATTTGGTCTGATGCATCGCTCAACGCGAGGCGTCCAATACTTATTAGTTCTAACAGACTATTTCTCCAAATGGATCGAAGTTGAAGCTTACGTAAGTATACAAGATTTTGTGGTTAAGACATTCTTGTGGAAATACATTATTTGTCGCCATGGAGTTCCCTACGAAATAGTAACGGACAATAGTCCTCAATTCATTTCAAATAATTTTGAAGATTTTTGTTCCGCTTGGGGAATAAAACTTAGCTACTCAACGTCGAGGTATCCTCAAGGAAATGGACAAGCGGAAGCTTCCAACAAAACCATTCTCAGCAATCTTAAAAAACACTTGAGTGCTCGAAAAGGTGGATGGTATGACGAGCTGCAACCTGTGTTGTGGGCTTATCGAACAACCCCGAGGCGAGCAACGGGTGAAACTCCATTCTCATTAGTCTATGGGATGGAAGCCGTAGTCCCAGCCGAGCTGAATGTTCTAGGTTTGCGCCGGAGCGAATCTCCACTTAACGAGGAATCGAATTCTAAATTATTAGAAGATGTTCTCGATACAATCGATGAAAGGCGAGACCAATCCCTTATTCGACTTCAGAATTATCAACAGTTGACCGCTCGATACTATAACTCAAAGTTGAAAAACAGACCTTTAAATGTAGGAGACTTTGTTTTAAGGCGAGTGTTCGATAACACAAAAGAAGAAGGAGCTGGAAAACTCGGTATTAACTGGGAAGGCCCTTATCAAATCACTGAAAAAATCCGAAACGGTGTATACCGTATATAAGACCTTGGTGGAAATCCCGTTCAAAGGCCTTGGAACATAATCAACTTGAAAAAGTTATATTGCTAAAGCAAACACATTCGAACTACGATTTGGCTTAATCCTATTCTGTGTACTTAGGCAGCTCGCTAAACACGAGTCCAGCTATAATATAAAAATAAAAATATTATTTCAAATTATGGAATCTTATTTTGGGCTTGAATATAGAGTACATTGCCAATAATGTATAAATAAATATTTATAGCTAAACTCAGATTTAGAAGGGTCTTGAATTACGGAACAACTCCGCTCCTTGACCAGCGAGGTCAACGATGCTCATAATGCAACCTGGCATGTTTCCGTACTCTTGAAGTCCCAGTTCGATCCAATCGGAAGGATGGGCTTCGAGGCAATGAAGCTCGCGAGCAATGTCAAGGCAACGCTTCCCTAGTTCCCTTCTCTTCTTCCTAATCTCCTTTTTCTCGTTCTCGAGCTCGTCATGCCGAGTGATAAGCTAAAAAAAATAAAACGCTTCGTTAAGCAATAACAAAAAGAGTTAAATCACTAAGATGAATAATACCTTGGTGATAAACTCCTCGGCCTTAACACGATCTTGAGGTGACAATCTCTCGATTAAAACGATCGGAACCTGAATGCTGGTTCCCTTCTTCAATATTTGTGAATCTTTTGGTTCGCCAGATTCTCCTGATTTTATAAGCTCGATGTCTGACGTCCTCGAAGGATCAACACTCATCACTTTGAACGAGTCTGAAGGATTCTCTAATGAATTACCTCCCTTGAACATTTTTGTAGAATTATTGTTGATTAAATTCAATAGTGAACTACATCTCCTTTATATTCAAAAAATATTTGACCGTATTTAAGAGGGCTAATTGACGATTTCCCAAAATCTGAAATTACTACTTTTATGGAAAACATAATCGAATTAATCCCAAATTATATTCCCCAAATTTTTGCATTAAATGAGATTGAAATAAATCAATTAAAGCAAAATAGGAATGTAATTAATATCGCTGGGCCTATAGCCCAATGGCATTTTTACAAAAAAATATATAATAATAAATCAAGGGACTTGTTCGATCAGAAGTCTTCGCCTGACGACGATTCCAGTGATGTGGACGATCCCGAACAACTTTCTGAAGAAAGTCCTTCGTCGGAAGATAAATCGAGAAGAATGGAAGAAGGATCAGTAGATTTCTCCTCCGGTCCTTCATTTTCTTCAGTTCTTAACATTGGAAATCTCCGAAATTCTGAAGAACATGAAACAAAAGAGGGTTCGTCACCGGTTGCCAAGGATAGGTTTTATCCAGCATACGGAGGAATCTTCGGAGGCTGGTAGGAATGATGGCCACGATATCTAAACCGATCCTCTCCTATTCATGCGGTTCAGATTCCAGGCGAAGGATCTCTCTTTCATTCTTCTTTATGCGCTCATCAAGAGCACGTCGCCTCCTTACAATTCTTTTTCTCTTATCACATAAAGCTTTATGTCTCCCGACGATCTGTTAGCAAACATTTTGTCAACTGTCCGGAAAATAATTTACAGTCTTCTGAAAAGGCTAAAAATTAGAGAGAGAACCTTTTCCAGAAAGTCATAACATTTAACCCTTTCTTTCCCCATCCGGAAATGAAAAAACGTTGGGTGAATTACTCCCTTTGGAGAGAATCCATCTTCGGATTCAAACAATGGATCTCCGTTTGAAGTCGTTATTCTCGAGCTTGATCTGAAAGAAGCTAGCGGCATTTTTCAGTTTGTTCCCACAGTAAACTGTAATATTCTTTCAAAGTCCTTTAAAAGGAGAAAGGCGTTCAGTTTTCTTTAAAATTAATAATAACATATTGCGAGCCTGCTGAAGCAGACCTCGGGTCCAATTAAAATATGGCCCAACTCTTTCAAAGCCGTTCTTAGGCCATGATCGCAACCATTGCCGGTTCATTTTTTATTCTCATGAATTATGGAAACCTTATCCCTCGATAAAAATCCTAAGCCGAGCTCAATCCTCGCATCCGAGAGACCGAGGAAAAATACTTGTTAGGATTTTTTCTTTAAAAAAGGCGAGTGAGCCTGATCAGCTCATCTCTCACTATTTATGAAACCTCGTTGGTGGGCTAGGACTTGCAAACCTAGAATCGCATCCAAACGTTTTACTTAAATAAAAATATATATATAAAAAAAAATGCAGTAGCATGTACATAACTATGTTCAAACAAAACGTTTCCGTCAAGCGAAGTAGTCCCATGGATTCAAGAAAATAATTTTTTAAGGTCGCTCCTCTGCCTCAGGAGAACGCTCGTGTGGCCGAGAACCCTCACCTACCTCGAATTAAGAGGAGGAATCTCCAAACACCGAAGAAAACTGTTTCAGATCGAGGGAAGGACGGGAAGCTGAGGATAGCTCGGATTCAACCGCAACGAGTTCAGAAGCAAATTCTCTCCTCTCACTCTCGAATGAAGCTCTCCCGCTCTCTAGTTCCTCAATCAGGTCTAGATTACTCTTCAGCTCGGCTCGATCGGATAGAAGTTTACTCCAGACCTCTTCGTCTTTGGTGAACTTCGTAATAGATTGAATGAGCTGCCTACCAAAGCCCCTTATCTCTTCCCGAGCGTTATGTTTGGCTTCAGCGATATCGCGAGCCCTATTCCTAGCTAAAAGCTCGGCATTTTGGTTCGATTCTTCGAAAACAGCCGCAGCCTCTTCTAACTCAGCTTCCAAGCGAAGAACGTTAGACCTCGCAGAGTCTCTTTCGGTTTTCGCGATTCTGATGCGTTGCTCATTAGCTTCCAACGTTTTCTTCATATTCTCAAAGGATGACTCGAGGGCATTCACTCTCTCGAGTCGCTCGGACTGATTGGCTAATCTAAGCTCATCAGTCTCCTTCCTAGCCTTTGCGGTCTCTTTCATCGCTTGGTGAAGAAGGTTTTCATAATGGAATATCATTCCATTAGTTTCCATGAACGCCTTCAGAGTTGAAAAATGTGTCATTCAGACAAAAGATTTTTACTAAAGGAAAAGAGGTTTGTCATAGTCAAAAATATCCAAACCTGGGATAGATATCAGGCTCGGTTGACATACATCTGACGGATTTCTGGCCTCCAAACCAAAAAAGGGGGAAGGGATGTCCCTTCCCTGGTTTGAAAACTTCGGAGGATGTCTCCAATCTCTTCTCCACCTGCAAAATAGAGGAGAGCAATGGGTTGATCAAATAGCCGCAATCTGTAAACAAGTTTTGCTAAGGCTCGCGTCTCAAAATAAAACTTACCAGAAGTCGAAGCAGGTAAAGGGTTTTGAGTCCTAATACTCAATCCTTGAGACAAGGAAACCTCCGGTCTCGGCTCATCATTTTTTTCTGAGATTACTGTCTCCCGGAAGGGGGAGCTCAGAATCTAAAGATTTCGAGGAGGGGAAAATAGAATGCAAAAGACTAGGGGCTCGTGTCGGAGAACTTAATCTAACGATTTTGGGTCTCTCGTTTGATAAAGTGTCCGTGTCTGGAGCCCTCCTCTTCGTGCAGACTGAAGAGGTTACTTCTTTTTCTCTCTCTCGTTCGGGAGAGTAAATAGCGATGGCGACTGGAGGATCGTTAGGGATATCGGCTCCATGAGAGTCTACCGCAATTGATAGAGCCGCTTCTAAAGAACCATCATCAACCAGGAGGGTCTTCATGTGGAAGTTACCAACCCTGGAGATTGCAGCTATCCGTTTTTTCTTCCCAATTTCGGATAACTGATCCTTAAGAGCCTTAGTCTCAGCTTGCATTTTTCTCTTATCCCGAGCATTCAGGCTCGAGGTGTCTTTTTCTTCAGGAGGAGGATCGAGGGGGTGAGTTTGACCGTCTCTGATAGCAAGCCCCGCTTTATGAATGCGTTGAAGGGTGAAGGAATTCCAATTTGTTTCACCCTCAGAAACGATTCGAAAGAAAGATAGGAAGTCAACAGTTGGGCGGGGGATCGTCTGGTTCCCTGGAACAAATTGTTGAGTTAAGAATCCTATTTACTTACACAAAACGGTGAAAAACAATAAAGGTTGGTTCTAACCAAGTATAGACGACCAATTTGCGAGAAGAAGACCGGAAAGACCTTGGATGGAATGGGGATTGATTCGGAAAAAGAACCAGTATTTCCTCCAAGGCCCATCATTTGAGGGCATTCCGTCAATCAGGTTACGGTCAAGAATATGATTCATGGAAAAGATGCCCGCCGCCGTAGACTCGCGGACTCAGAATAGCCCTAAGAGTTCGCGAGTGGAAAGAGAAAACCCTGCCTCTGCTGAGACGGTCAGGGTGCTCAAAACATACCGGAGAAAGTTGGGAGCCATCTGGGGAAAAGCAATCCCTAGATGAACAAGGTACAAAAGGAGAACCTCCGGTATGGGAAAAAATAAACCACAACCTTTGAAGTAAACTTCGTACGCACAACAAAAACCCTCTCGCACTACTTCTGGAGACTCGTTTGGTCTAGGAAGAGAGAATTCTATTTCTTGAGGGATGTTGCACAGACGACGAAGAGCGCCAAGGGAAGCATGGGTCGATTGAGACCTGAAATGTGGACCAAATTTGTCTCCCCTTTGGGTGAAGACTTCGTCCCCTCTGGGAACATGGATTCCTTGGATGTCGTCTTCGTTGTCCGAAACGTAGACGGCTGAGGAAGACATTTTTTACTAAAAAAATTTATCATTCTCTGGTTTGGTAAAAGCTTTCAAGGGTGAATGTACGCTGTAAAAGCCGTCATTCCATTTAACCCTATTTAGCGTAAACCACCTCGAGAATGTTGGGAAGTGGGACGGTTTTCCCCGCAATATTAATATGAAATTAGGAAATTAATGATGACGGTTGTCAGGGATATCAAATCGATTGATTATCCGAGATCGGCGTAATAGCGTAAAACATGGAATAATTCTGGAACGTTAAAGATCTCGAGTCATTAATTACTGTTTACTTAAGTCTTCCAAGCCGAGCACTCAGCTCGCAAGACTTGGGGGGCTAAATGTTGGGGTCGGATCCCACACGTTTTCGGTAGGATCCACTTGGATCTGTCCACGTCATTATTACATTATAATCCTCTTGGATTTTTTCTAGATGTTTCATTGCGAGAATCGAGCTTGACCTGTTGGAAGTTCGATTCAGTTTATTAAAGAGCTCGATCTTTACCAGTACGGAGTTCGCTCTTATTCAACATATAGTTTGCATAAAAGAAGGCCGAAGCGAGGAGAATATTGTTCGCGGCAGCGTCAAGACGCAGGAGTTCAGAGTCAACAAGAAAGAGTTCGGAAGATCCACGCGAAGCCCAAGATAGTTCAAATTCAAGCCGTTTCGGTCAAATTGTAACATACATGATTAATGCGGATCAATGCGATTATGAGCAGTAAATGACCGCATTGATTATGTTTTCACTATAAAAACAACCTCAAACGCATATGTTTGAGGGAGAACAACATTTTACCTCTTACTATCAAGCAATACAACATACTCTTTCTTTTACAATTTCGCAAGGCTTTTTACTATTTTATTCTTGCAAATTCTTTCGCTTTATTTAATTTCTTGGTTACTTTCCTTTTCAAATCCTTATTTTTCATTTGTTGATTTTAGAGTTTTTCTCCACAAAAATATTTAAAGATAATCGAGTGTGAATCCTACATCCACAATATCCACCAATAGAAAATTTTAAAAAAGAAAACAGAAAATTGGTATTTTTGAGAAAAATAAGTATGGAATTTGGTAATTATATAAAAGATTTAAAATATGGAAAAGTGAAAATGGTATGAAATATGTAAAAATGGAGGATTGTACAGTGTATATATATTGATTACATTATGTATTTACAAATTAAAACAACTCATCAATAAGACAACAAAAATCACAACAAGGTCCTGTGAGACATATCCAAACCATGAAATCATCACATATAGTTCTGTTATGCATTGTCATCTTCTCCATCTTCGCTCTACATGAGTGTGCGTATAGCTTTTTCTAACACACACATATATATATATACATCAAATGTCTCTTTTTTATTCATCGTAAGAGTTTTGCTTGTTTGTTTCAAATTAATGTATAGGTGGGAGGACAAATGTTGGAAAGATAGAGAGATCGATGCTCGATATTTTTAAACCACCATGTCACAAATCTATTTGCGAGCTTATAACTAAAAAGGAATGTTGGTGTTGTTTTGGACCTGAAGCTAGACAAAATTTTTGTTGGGCATACCCAGATTATCCCAACGCCAAAGACTTATGCTCCACCGAATGTGCAAGGAGTTTTAAAAACCTTTAATAATACATTAGTAATGTATGTTGCTTATTTAATTTCAGACTTTCCAAAGCATTATTAATGTGTAATATTGTACTTCTTTTTATTAATTAGTTACACACAAAAAAAATTATCCTTACTATCTTGATTTTATATTCATGGAATGTAAGTTTGATATCATCAAAGATCGTTTAAAATTTTTAAATATATACTAGATTATAACCTGTACTACAGCACGGATTAAATTTCATTTAGTAAAAAATTTATATATACTATATATTTAAGAATAAAGTTTTGAAATATTATAGTAGTAAGTAAAAATATTAATTTTTTTGTCAATCCCTATATATACTATTATAATGAATATATTTTTCTTCTTATATAATGCTCAATAATGGATAATTTTTTTAAGATATGAACATTGAGTTACTTTATGTTAACAACAATAAAATGAGATTGCATATAATTCAGTTAGATCAAAAATCAAAATATCATAAATGAATTGTATCTTAAACGTAGATTATTTTAAATTAATTAAGTTAGTTAGCTATTATTTTGAATTAATTTTAATTTTTTTTTCAAGTTGTAATTATTTGGTTGTTGAAATAAAGATTTGTTTGACCTAATTACGGAATTTAGCAATTATTCGGATAACCGAATATGTAATGAACATATTTTTGGTATATAATAATATCAAATTCAATCTGTGGAGTCTATATTTTCAGTTTAAAATCCCAATGAAAATATTGCGTGCACAATCTATCATTAATTAATTTTAAAATGCATGCAGAATCAAATTTTCAAATATTTAGTGGTGTCAAATCTTATTTAACTTATCTCATCATATAATCTTAACATGCCTTCTCTTATAAGGATTTTACTCTTTCTATCATATAATAAATTACATTTAACCCGCCGCCTGCTATAAATATTTTAAATATATTTGTTTTAGAAAATCAAATTAGAGTATTTAATTTTTAATCTATTAAATATTTATGATATTCTTTAAATATTAATTTAAAAATTTTTTAAATGTTCCAAATTAAAATATTTAATTTTTTTTTTAATATATAAAATTATGAATTTCAAAAAAAAAAAATTATATGCAATTAAATATAAATATTCAAATAGTTATAGGGATCATTACACATTCCATCATATAATAAATTTTATTTAACTCGCCGCATATTATAAATATTTCAAATATATTTGTTTTAAAAATTAAATTAGAGTATTTCTAGTTTTTAACTTTTTGATCTATTAAGTATTGATGATATTCTTTAAAAATATCAAGTAAAATTTTTTAAAATTTTCTAAATTAAAATATTTAAATTTTTATTGTAGTATATAAAAATATACATTTCAAAAAAGTAAATGTATGAAATTAAATATAAATATTCAAGTTCTGACCCGTTACTCAGTTAGAATTTCTGTTGAATTTATTTTTGTTTAAAATAAATATACTACTCAAGTCTGAATTTTTGATCCGTTATATTTTTTCATAAATTGAATCATTTATATTCGTTTTTAAAAATTCAAATCATGACATATGCGGAAAAAAATCTACTTTTTATTATTATATAGACGATATGATGATTTATTTATTTCATAAAAATAGAATCATATAAAAATGAGAAGTGAAGTACATTGATTAATAAAAAATTAATATAGTAAGTCAGTTATCAAATGTTCATTTTGATTGGTCATTTTTAATAAAAAAGTTAATAATGTATTTTCGTTTTAATAATTTAATGAAATTAATTAAATTTGACAAATTAGTATTTAACTTGTTTATCCTTAATAAGATGAATTATTTTACTCGTTAAATTTTTATATTCATATGGAATTCTAATGTAATAAGTTACAAAAGTAAGGTTACTTCTATAATGTACTCCCCAAATAATAGCATAGGATATATGTTGTAATTAAGTACCAAAAATTAACCATAAAAATCCGTAATTATTAAACAGTTTTCCAAATATTTGAAAACACAATATTTGGTTTAAGGAATATCTTTTAAGTTTGTTACTATAATTAATGATTTGTTATTGATTTTTCATTAATGCTTTAATTCGTTTTTGGTAATTCTTAGCAAAGATCCGATTAAAATTATTTCTAGGTCAAAAATTAAAATAACCCGACCTAATTGGATTCTTTAAAATGTACTTCAAAAATGTTAAGTAGATCGTTTAGGTAATCTTTGAAAGCCCTGTAATTAGTTTAATTAATATGATCTTATTATTTATGTAATATTTGAAAACCCGGTTTGATTACCATTGACCCGCGAGATTAAAATGAATGACATGGATTAATCATGTTTGTGATTAAAGATTTGTAAAGGGAAGATTAAAATAAATGACGTGGATTAATTATATTTATGATTAGAAATTTGTAATGGCATATAATATAATTTCTTACACTTCTCAATGTTACAACTTATTCATGTACTTCCCAAATAATAGTATAACTGTATAGGATTACATAGCTATTTAATCAACCAGTTAGAAACATAAATAATTCAGTGACATATATGTATATGAAGAAAGAAAAAGCATAGAAAAGAGATAGAACAAATTTGTAAGAATGTAAATTCATCAAAAAATGCAAGGTGAATTCAACTATATTTGTAAAATCTGAACACATACAATTTTTTTATTTTACGTGATAGTAAAACTAAAAAGGACTTCTATTCATGATTTTAACCGAAGTTTACATTTGAAATTAAGTAAGTGTTATTCAATCATAGATTTAAAGTTAATAATTCTTTAAATTGTAATCTATAAAATTTGAAATTTGATATTATTTTTAACAATTCATATATGTATGTGGATTCTAAAATCTCTACATTTACATTGGATTTTGTTTCTCATAATTTTACTCATGAAATTCCAAGAGTTTATTTCAAATGATTCAATATACCAAAAAGAAAAAAGTTGTTTAGTGGGTGCACAAAAAAAAAGACTCAAAGTTATTTTCCTAGGTTTTACAATCTTTTAAATTTGAAATTGGATATATATATATATATATATATATATATATATATATATATATATATATATATATATATATATATATATTTAAAGAATTATGTGCGTGGATTCTAAAATTTATGCAGTATACCTTGTCTTTTGTTTTAACAAATTACTCATAAAATTCTAGGAGGTTTTATTTCAAATAACTCAATATATTAAATTTATTCTTATGCACAGTAAACGGACTGTCCCAACATGAGAAAGTAAAAAACAAGCAATTGCATTTAGGAGAGAGTCTTGCTTCACACACTCGAATGGATACTAAATCCATCTATCCGAAATATCCGGAACCAAACATTCCAAATGAGTCCTACTCAAAACCGAACCGAATACATGAATGCATAGGCCTAATGTGTTTGATTCTTTATAAGACATTCAATTTGAAACTTCTTTTTTAACAAAAACCTTCAATTTTTTTTGTTTCCATATAAAACCTCCAACTAATTAATTTTGTCTAAATAAACCCTCAAGTTGTCAAATTTGATCTCGAATAATAGTTGACTAATGATCAACGATAATTCCGTTCGGAATAGTAACCGGCCGTTGACAATAATTTTTCGCTTATTTAGTCCAAAAGTGATAACATAATTCTCCCAACACTAACGATGAAATTAACGATGTCGAAACGAAATCGACTGTAGAATCTTGTTTTTCATCGACTACTGCAACCAGCAACAAACACGTGGATATAAAACAGATTAATTAACTCAACCGTTTGCCAAATCTTCAAAATTTACTTTTGTGATCTAACAGAAAACGGATATAAAGAGTATAATTCTGATTAATCTACATATATTAGCACTAAACCAAACCAAAAGTAAAACAAAAAGAAATGCATGAATTAGACGAGTACTACCAGTGGAGCTTCAAAACTCATTTCCACTTTTGTAAACTGCCCAAAAGAGAAATACCAAAAAAAGTTAAAAAAAAATCTATCATCGCCTTCTCCTCTTCCTCTTGTTTCGATGCAAAATCTCTTGCTCATCTTTATTTTCTTTGACAACAATCTCTTCCTCATCTAAACTTATCTGCTTCCTCTTCAGATTCCTTACGACAAGACCCAATGGAGAAGCTTTCAGAGTTCTTACCACGTGAGAGGCTGCGTTGTATTCTGCTTTCTCTTTCCCTTTTTCCAAATCACCCTCGATGTATAAGGTACCTTCCTCAGTTGGAGTCTCAATCGTAACTGAAGAAACAAATCTTTTACTAGACCTCTCAACACTGAAAAGAGTTGAACACAGTAACAAAAGTTAATACGTCGCACTTTGTTCTTATCGAGGCACACACAGTAAAAACATCCAAAGTCACATTTATCAAACTTGTGGCTAAAAGCAAAGCAAAACAAGAAATAAGATGACATCTCTCAAGTGTGTAGGACTAAGAAATACCTGAAAATCGGGTTCGGCCACTTTCTCTCGTTGCAAATCTCAATCAACGTCTTTTTTGAATTTTCATATTCAATGCTGTCATCCATAACCAATTCAATGGGCATACTTTCTGACAACTTCTCTAACGCCATCGTAGCAGCTCTCATCTTTGAGGCAGCTCTATTACAACTCTTCCCACAAGCTATAAATTTATCATCGACATATACCTCAGTAATAGTGGCTTCGTTCATACCTGAACTCTTCTCACACTCACGATACCTGAACTCGATTCGCTTGCCGTGTTTATATCCCAAACAAAAAAGGGTAAGAAGTGGATGAGGTTTCCGCCGTATATCATCCAGTGTATATATTGGCTCGAAAAGACCCCTCAAGATCTGCAAATTTCATTTCTTTTTTAACTTGAGAATCATATAACATAGAAATAGAAAGTCGAATCAAGTGAGAACACAACAGACCTCCCAGAGTCTTTTAACATCACGATTCACATCAATATACACAGCTCCAGCTACAGATTCTACAAGGTCAGTGAGTATTTTTGGGGCTTTCACAGATCTGAATGGATCTGGGTCATCTTCTTTGCCCAGCATCTTTATGAACTCGATAATCTGAGAGATGACACCAAAGGTGGAGAGTATATCATAAGAGATGTTCACAATTGAGCAAAAATTCACAAGAAACAGAATGACTACCTGTCTTTTTGACGTACGAACATTGCATTTAAGGAATTGGTAGATGCCGCGCTTGACAGCAACACGAGCATATCTGTCGTTACATGTATTTGCATTTTGCAACATAGTCAACTCCTTTGGTCCGAGCTTAGGGTACGTGAGGTACATGTGATTCGCGAAGGCGAGAGAAATACCCGCCTTGCCGACAAACATAAGCCGCTGAAATGGCAGTAAGTTAGAAGAGTTGTGTGTTAGCGCTTCTCTCAGAAGATTCTTGTTAGTGAAACTGTAATTCAAGATCTTCTCCACAGCTTTCACTGGATCAGAATCAATCTCTGAGCTGAGGCTTTCAAGGCTCCTTTCATGTGGCAGGCAAGACTCATTAGAGGAGATTTTCTCATCTAAACTTTTCTCTATTGGCAGATTACTTTTGACATGACTCATTAGTGAAGATTTCAGGGCTCCTATCATATAGTAGGCGGAGGAGTTTTTTGCTTGCTCTTTCGTTGATTTTGCATCTCCCTTCATGTGAAAGACACTTTCTACAGATGGGATCTCAATATTAGAGGAGATTTTCTCATCTAAACTTTTCTCTATTGGCAGATTACTTTTGACATGACTCATTAGTGAAGATTTCAAGGCTCCTATCATATAGTAGGCGGAGGAGTTTTGTGCTTGCGTTTTCGTTGATTTTGCATCTCCCTTCATGTGAAAGATACTTTCTACAGATGGGATCTCAATATTAACTGAACAAACAAATTTCTGCTCAATTTTTGGCCCTCCTTCTTCCTCAAAACTGAAAAGAGTCAAACACAGTAACAAAAATGATTCATATGCGTGCTTATTGAGGGTACCCAAAGTAGAAAATAGCCAAAGTCACATTGATCTTAAGAGTATATTTTTTTAGAGCACAAATGTGCCTTCTCTACCTTAAATTGGAAGAGTTTAACCATGGATTACCAAACATGTTCTCCTTCTTTGAGAATATAAGACTCTAAACTACTCAAAGAGATTAATTTGACTTTAGATCGTGGTCCTTGTCAAGCTGTAAGTAGTACTTAGAAAAGAAAAATTCAGGTAAAAGATATACCTGAAAATCGGGTTCGGCCAGTTATTGTTTTTGCAAATCTGAAACAACTCCCCTGTC